CCAGCACAATCAAAGTCTTGTGTTTGGAATTGTCCTTGACATTCTTTCGTCCCACAATGGGGTGGACACAGTGTGCTGGAAACCATGACATCATTATCATTGACACAGACTTAAATAAATCACCTGCATCTTGGCTTCTTTCTGCTTATTCAAGGAGTCTTCATCTTATGGAAGAAAGTGCTCTTTATTTTTACAAACCTTCATCCCAAGGGTGACTGGAAAATGCAAACTTTTACAAATGTTTTAAAAATAAATATACTGTGTGGTTTTAGACAACAGTATGCTGAGTCAGAGGTGTCTTAGAGAATGTGTAAGGCTAGACACGAGACAGAAAGACAACCAGGACTGCCATTAACTCTAAGGAGCTACTCCTGTGCTACACACCATTATGTGCTTCCAAATACGAATTCACTTGGAACCTGATTAAACAGGTGTGTGTCTAATAGTTCAGATCCAGACCTGAAAACCCTTAGTGTTTCACTTTAATCAGTTGAGCTTGATATTCACAGAAGTAAAAGCTTGAGGCTCAGTAAATTGAAGCAGAATATACTGTAGGTAAAAGTGATATCATCAAGTCTGATGTCTCTCAGAGATTTCAGCTGCATAGTCTTTAGTAAAATAGAAAATGGGATTATAGCTAAATAATGCTACAGCCTGCAATGTCCACAACATGCGGGCTACACACTTTGGCGCCCAGCGTTTATTAATTTGGGAAGCAATCACCTACTGTAACTTCTCTTTACTTTTTCATAAGAAAATGACAATGAGGAAGGAAGTACACAGAAATCTTGAACATTACCACTATTATGCAAAAAAAAAAAAAATGCTGTTAACTGTTTTCCCCTCAGTGACTTGCTGTGCTCTCAGATGGAAAACTTATGATTCTTGTGACTCTGGGCTACCAGAAATCACATGAGATGAGCAAGGAAGAAAGATACAAAAGCTATATTTATATCTAGGAGTGAACTTCTCAGAAATACCTTAATTTAATTTCTTGCAGGGGCTGATAAAAATATCAGATGAGGGATCTTTTCAAATGACCAGTTATTACAATTGACAATGCACTGTTACTATACATTGAACTTCTAAAAGTTTTATCCAAAATGTCCCTGTGGAAATATTCCCTAAATAAAACTGCAGTCCAGGGCCAGGCATGAATTTTAAATGATTGTAGCCTCTGAACAAATGGTCTCTTCCAACAGTGGCAAGAAGCTAGCATCTATGTATACTTTTCTGTTCTACTTTGAGAGGCCCATGGTACCTCAGCTCTGACCCCACAAACAGATATTATACAAGGCATTGCTTGCAAAATATGTTTTAATTTAGTCGTAGTGTTTTCTAGAACCTTCTATCAAAGTAGCTCAGTGTGTGATAAGAAAAGAATGATCAGGATTAATTTGTGAATTTACAGGGTCCCATTTATAGCTTCTCTTATTTTAAATAACATCATTATCAAAGACAGAAATTGATCCTGGTTCGTGTTTAGTTCTCATTAGTATGTCATTATAAAACTTCACTTTTAAAAGGTTTTGTTTCATTTACTTAAAAGATTTTTAATGGGCAGCTGTCTTGCTCTGTCTTCTCCCACACTCTATAATTTGGTAGACACAGAAATTCAAGAGTTCCCTATTTTTTTTTCAAACTCTCTCTTGTTTGAAAATGGCTTTTAATTATTTCTGAATCATCAGCTTCGATGTTAAGTATTTTCATCTTTATTGGAACATTGAAATGCTCCAATAAAATGAACATTGAAATGTTCTATAGAAAATCGCTATGATTGTGGAGGCAAAAATAAGAGAACAAGGTATTCATGAGAGGTTAGAAAAAGAACGTGGAGGCTGTGTTTCAGAAGTTTATGTGAAACAGTTACATGTGTATTTTTGATGCCTCTGGGATGTTTGTTCTATAATCTAGGCATTCTGAATTTCAATATGTAAAATTAGGGTTTTTAAAAAAGTATGTTTGCCTAGATTAGCACCATCATAACTACTCAAAGCAGAAAGAAAAGCATGAAAATAAAATGAGAGAATCTGACTTGTCACCAAGCACCCAGAGTTACCAGAGGTACAGCAGCTAGCGTGCCTCTTCATAAGTACAAATACTTAGTTGATTTTGACTCTTATTGAAAAAATAATATCTTCCCCCTGTTTGTCACTAGAACTGCCACCCGAAGAAAAGCCCTTCATTTGCTCCAAATAAGCACCTCTGTTTTTCACAGCTTGCAGTAATGCTTAAAGTAAATAAGTTCTTGTGCAGCTAGCACTATTGGATTCATTCAATTGCCTGAACAAAGCTATTGTTTAGAGGTTTACAACAAGCCCTCTCTCTGTTTCCTTTGAAAGAATCTTCCTTGTTCCTGTGCTTGGCATGCTTAGTATAGTAAGCCCTTCTACAATTTTCAAATACTAAAGATAATTTTCCCCCACAGAAGAAATGAAGGAAGACTATGTCACTATGGGGCCGGAAGCCACAATCCAGACCACAGTTAACAATGGTACAGGTAAGTTCCATTTACCACCCTAAGACTATGTCTGTCCTGTGTCATGGGGGTTTACTGAGTCAGGGAAAGAAACACCAACCCATCTTTTTGTATTTCCATGACTTCACAAGTACGTCAGATGCTACTGTTTTAAATTCAAAATTGCTTTAAATCCAAATTTGGTATATTTTGATATTTTGTGAGCAAATGTCGTTCATTCTCATAGTCTAAATTCACCTCTGAAACTAAAGAATGTTGAACTGTATCACTGTATCTTTTTATAGCATGAACCGGGTGAATTGTAGTAGTAACTTTTATTTTAGAAGACTATTAGCATAATCTTTAGAATACGGTAGGCCTTCACTAGTGATCACCTGACACCTATCATTGAGAATTCAAATGATATCTTGTATTGTAGATTATAAATAAGTTTTTAGCAAACCGTATTTCCATGAACATTCCATACACAATTAATCATCTGCATTATTTTTAATTATTTCTTCACTTTTAGTTCTCTACATCTGTTAACTCCTCTGACCAATATTTTCCAGGTAGAAGTTTTAGAGAGAAATTGACAATTTTATTTATTTTTAATAAAATGAAAAAAATCAGAGTAGGAAAGCATTAAGTAGTGTTTCGTCTTACTCTGCTATTGCTACAGAACAGAGATTAAGGACAATTTTGACATTCCATTTCCCCCCAAAACTAAATGGCAACTTCTCTCACATTCCCATGCCACCCACAGAAATTGACATTGACTCACTATGTTTATCTCTCTTTGTCTGGATGAAACTAATCATTTTCAGTGTTTCAAACAATCTTTCAATACCATTACAAATATTAGCATAGTGCCCAGTACAAAATTATCTTCTAAAGTGAAACAACAAAAAACCCCGTGTAGCTATTTCTACTGTACTCACCAATGAAGAAAAGCTGGCAGCTTTATGAAGTTTTAGAAATGTAAATAATTAAGATTGTATTCATATCTCTCTTATGTTGATACACATCATAATAAACTGCTCACGCTGTGCTTCTATTTAAATGCCCTCATTAATAACTTAAAAGGCATTAATTCATGTTCTTGGAAGTAAAATAAGAGAAATAATGAAAACCTATTGTCATTTTTTATTCATTTGAATAATATCTAAATTTAAGGTACAAAATGAAACTATATTACATGCTTATATAGAAAATATAGAATTAGAAAAATTCTAAATACAGCTGTGCAATAACTCAGTCATGACCTTGGGCAAGTCATTTGCCCTCTTTGGAACTTGGTTTTTTACACCCATTATGTGGGAGGAGTAAGTTGATTTCTTGCTTAAATGCTCCATGTTGCTTGGGTACTACCACCATGAAAAATGGAAAGAAGACCAAATAATTTCATAAAAATAGTAATAAAGAGACACCATGAATTATATACTTTCTCTAATGTCCTAAATCATGGAGTTAGAAATGGCTTTGTGTTCTATTTATTTACTTACTTTGTGGAACCGGGGATTGAACTCAGGTCCTTGCACTTGCCAGGGAAGTGCTTATTCTACTGAGCCATCTCCCTCGCCCCATCCTTTTAAAGAAAAATGTGGATTTCAGTTTCAAGTGTGAATAAAAGCTGATTTTTACTACCTTTTTAAGCATTTAAAGTGTCACAAAAGATTTATTGTACAAAGTGATAATTTACTAGCTATTTTATATACATAAAGTCTACAGCAAGGTTAATAAAAATTGTTCCTGTCCAAAGGTTTAAAAATCAATCTCAGACACCCTTTCTCTAGGCTTTAAGATCTCTTTCTCTCTGAATTAGCCAATAAATAAATCAATAAGTATTTTGTGTGCATACATGGGGGAAGATGGGCCAGGAAGATTAAGATAAAAATATGCTTTTTATTTAATCTGGAAGATGAGCCTAGTATACGTGAAAAAATTATAAAAACATGTGAGAAATACGCAACAAATTATAAGGCCAATAATTATTTGAATTACAGAAATGAGAAAGATCCAAAGGAGTAGGAATTCTTATAAAGTTTTATAAAGGGGGTAGAATATGGAACACATACCCTTTTAATGGTTATGAAGGGATCAGGAAGGGCATTCTAGCAGGGTATGAATGGTGAACCAGGAAGGGGAGGAAGGTATCTATGCAGAAGATAGTGAGTGAAAAGATTCAGCTGAATCAGGAGTCCTAAAGGAAACTTCTAGGAAACTAAAGCTGGACATTTAAGCTAAAGTCAGGTATCAAAGAATATAAAATATCTGAAAGAGTTAAAAACTAATTTTTCAGTCATGTTATCCTACTGTGCATAAAACAATCCTCTAGAAAGCAGCTGGAAATCATTCAGGTATGCAGGGACAAAAATGTTGTCCTGGGTGGTGACAGTGGAGAAATTAGCAACATGACTTCCTAACACTAGACTCTTGATGATAGAGGGAAAGTAGCTTTAGGATTACACATCTGGGGGCAATGGAGATAGCTCAGCAGTCTAAGTGCCTGCCTAGGCAAGCCCAAGGACCTGGGTTCTATCCCTAATACTACAAGCATGCCAGCCCCACCTCAGGCATGCCAAGCTGGCCACCAAGACTGGGTATGGTAGCACATGCCTGTAATCCCAGTGCTGAGGAGGCTGAAACAGGAGGATCACTATGAGTCTGAGCTGCATAGTGAGACCCTGTACCAAATACATAAAACTAAAAAAAGAGATTATGCATCTGCATGTTTAGAATATGTTCATTCTTGGTATTTCTAGATCTTCAGAAAAATTCAATTTTAAAAAACTTTGAATTGCCTTTCAAATATAATGAATTTCATAGAAAAGTTCCATCTTGATTGGAAATGGGAAATAGAACCCAAATAAGCAAGAATCAGTAAGATAAAAATTTGAGTCATGCAAATGTATTCAGATAGTATTTAACATCATAGGGCTATGGAATTTTACAAGTGAATATACATTTATTGAAACAAATATTTGAGCCCAAGACTTCTGGTAGATGAAGGAAATACCAAATTGATTCAAAGCAAAAAGATTATGAGAAAACAGGGAAAATGTAAACATTCAGAAGCAAAAAGAGAGTGCTCCATAAAGGAAAAATGGTCAATTCAATTAACAGCTTCAATAACTACACTTGAAAGAATACTGGGAGAACATATGAGACTTGGTAATTAGGAATTCACTTATAAATTAAGGTGACCCTTTATTTACAGCCCCACCCTTTTAAAGAATACACATCTTTTTCCAGTCTTAGGCTTGCCACTTTTTGTTCCTAGCATCTTTTTCAATGGTAAATACATGGGGAACTGAAATATTACATCTTTTTTTGGTAGAAATTTACTTCCTAATGGACATGTTGTTCTCTCTCAGGTCTTACTCATCAGCATGAAGCTATTGGCTGAGCTTCTTTGGCCATTCCAAGCTATAAAGTGTATCTTCCTCTAATGAACCTATAAGGTTTTGATCACTTTAACACCATAGAGCCTGGGATATCTAGGTCAAAAAATGAGTAAGAGACAAACAGCATTTGTACTTCCTTTTCATATTTTAGGCTGGAATATTTTGGACACCTGGTCTGCCACTCTCCTTATTCCAGTTTCCTGAGCTAGAAAGAAAGCCTACACTTGACTGTCCTTAAGCCTTTATATCGTCCTTTGTACAGTGTCTACATCCTTTCTGGAAGCCCTTCCTCAATGTTCACCTGCCTTGTTAGAATCCTCAAGTGCACCCTTAGGACCTAAAAGAAAAAAAATCAATAAATCTCACTCCAGAGTTCAGCGCCATCCGTTTCTAATCTGACCAAATTCCTTGATGATATCGAGAGAGCCACATTTATACCAACCAGTGAAACTCTGCCCATGCTTTCTCTTTAGATCTTAACCCCTTTCTTCTAGTCATGCAGACGTTCCCCACATCCCTTGATTTTCAGGACTAGCTTACCTTTCTTTATGTGGTCATCTTTAAGCACCTCCAAGAACATTCATCTCTCTTCCTTCTCAGAAACCCCACCATCCTAGTTTGCATACTATAAAGGTTACTATGTTGAACTATTCCTCATTATGTTGGTTCTACCTGTCTTACCTGCTGAATTCCATAAAGACATTCATTGGCTGAGAAGTAATGGTATATTAGAAGCATCTGCTTCTTAGCATTCTTGAGATCTCTAAGTTAGTAACATACTTTGGCCAGAAATACCAGCTTTAAGAAAAGGACTATTTTGTTGGACTCAAAGTGAATACATAGAACAGTGAATACACATGGTAAACTTTATGACTTTTCAAAGAATAACAAATATTTGTGGAAAAAAATGGATGCCAACTTTTAAAAAGTTCACAGGAGATGAAGACATTACCTGCTGAGGCGACTGAGGTAGTATCTTTAGAGTGAAACCATGCTTTAACTTCCAGAAATCAACTTGTTAAAGACAAAGAAAAATAGCCCAGTATATCAATATTTTCTTTCTGCAACAAAGTTAGATTAATAGCACAGCAAAATTGATTTATGACAACATACAGCATTGAAACCCCTGATTTATATTAAACTTTCACTTCATAATTTCAGTTTTTTTTTAAAAAAAAGAAAATAATAATGTTCTGAAATGTAAAGAACATCGTTTTACAAAGAACCCAATGTCATCCAGATATTAATAGAATCCAAATTCAGAATGAAATTACTAGGTAAAAATTTTAAGAGTGAGTGGAAAAACCCCTGTTTTCTAAGAATATTAGAGAAATGGAAAAATTGAGGAGCATTACAAACATGAGTTTGCCTACAGGATAGAGCAACAAGGATCTGTCCTAGGTGTGAGTGCTCATTAGCATTAATGCAGGTCCATGTGCATATAAAGGCCCAAATGGGCCCTTGATGTTTTCCTTGTTGAATATGAGAAAGCTATATCTACTCAGATAAGCTAGTAATGGAGTTCTCAGAGGTTATTAATAACCATCTGCATCTTTGCCTTCTTTTGCTAAGAGGGAGAGGGTAACCCTTAATGCTGAAATTGGGCAGAAACAATTTAGGTCTCAGCTCTTAAAC